GTAAATAATAGGACGTGAGGACCAAAGAAAAAGAAAAAGGACAAAACAAAAAAAAAGGACCGAAATAAAACTCCACCCCAAATCTACGGTATCTCTAACAGGGCTTAGGGTTGTCGGTTTCGGGGAAGCCAAGCTTTGTTTTTGTTGGTTTGGGGGTTCCACGGCAACTACTCGGCTTTTGGAGCTATCCGTTCGGTTTCGGGCTTCGCACAAAGCGGTGCCCACCGCAGCGATTCGTTTGAGCCCCCTCGACTCCAGTCGCCACGTGGCCTTATTCCTGATGTTGATCGAGGTGCTCCGTGGGCAGGTGAGCAACTGCGGGCACGCGACAAGCTTCCCTGGTTTTCTGATTGCGCGTCTGTTTCCGGACTTCTGCTTTCTGTTTTCCAGACTCCGCCGGTCCTTATTACCGAGTTGTCCTGGCCGACTCTTCCCTTCCGAGTGATGCAGAGTCTGCGCACTGTGCAGCAGTGTACGGCAGCATCCAAGGCCGCTGCAAGGCCGATTTGTGTGCAGCTTGTGTGAGGTCGCCGTCGATGCCAGCGGGCACCTTGCGGCGGTGGCTGAGGACCCTAACCCCTATTTCCATGAAGCCATGCTCATCCACGACGTCAGAGCAGTGTTAGGTGTTGTCGATGCCGCGTAGGATTCGGGAGCCGTGCACCTGCTCGACTTGAACACCTGGTGATTTGGCGAAGATCAAGAGGCCAGGGCCAGCAGTTGCCATAGACCGAGAGACTGAGGAGAGTCGACAAGATCCTGGGTGGCAAAAATGGCCACGAAAACATTTGCAGCGCCGTGGCTTGGAAGCCAGGCCCACAGAATTTCCTGATGGCAGGTGCTTGTGAGTCCTTCGCCCCTTCCATGTTTTGCAGGCCGCGAGTGGACCTTAGCATCCGGAGGACTGGATGCCGCGGTTGTCGCTTGGCCTGGGCTTATTGATGCAGTGGGATGGGAGCCAGGAGACTGGGCATGCAACGTTATCGACACGAGGAGGGCGAGGTAACTACACAATGGTACGAAGGAAATTGCAGCTTCAACCAACAGCATCCGGCTGTCTGATATTTTCTCGTTGGCATTCCAAGTCTTCTCTATTGCTTTTGATGCTGAGGTCATCTGGCAAAGGTCAGGAAGAGGCCCACAACAATGATTCCTTGCCCAGCCAGATGTATTGTTCATTGGCCTGTTTGTTACAATGAGTGGGCACCAACGGCTGATTGGCAGCTTGCTGTTGAGGGTGGCGTGTGTTACCGAACCCGGATATGCAGCAGGCGTTACGACTGTTGGGCATTTGTACACTTCCCAGACGACGCATGCATCTGTCAGCTGAATTCGCCTGGCTTTGCAGCAGAGGGGCTCAACTATCCGGGCAGGGCGCAAAGTGCAGATGCAACCGGATGCTGGGGAGGACGAGAGTGCACACATGTTCAATACCAAAGCACTTACAGCAAAAGGAAAACGTGCAGGAGTCTGCCACATCAACTGGCGGACCTCAGCTGCTCAACCCACCCTTTGTGCTGCTCGGCCCGTGTTCAGTTCAGACGGCTGCAGTTTCATGCAGATTATGTAAGGAAGATGGCTAATCAAGGCATTCGATCGCATATGCGCCCGATGGCGAAACGCTGGCGGCAGGTCATGTGTGGGCGTTTGGCCAGTCTGGGCAATCCTTGGGCATTTGATATCGGCATCTGCGAGGCCTCGGTGACGGCACCGTTGTCCTCGTGGGCTCCGACCAGCGCCTTAGAGGCAGTGCTTCGAAACGCGAGCCCTCTTCTTTGGACTTGTCAGTCAGACACCTTGTAGGTCACCTCGCAGCCGTGGCGCAGGCCGTGGGGAGAGTACTACTGCTACTGTGACCCCTAGCAGCTGTCCTAGCACTTCTTGTGATGCTGGTCCGAGGACGACGACGACGCTGCTACTGCTGCTGATGCTGCTGCTGCTGTTTCTGCTGCTGCTAGTGCTGCTACTCAACTACTGCAGCTGCTACTACTACTGCTACTGCTGCTGCTGCTGCTACTACTACTACCACTGGACGACGACTACTACTACGATGGCGAACGACGAACGACTGCGGGTACTACTAGTTCTTTTCTTCTTGCTGCTATTCGTATGATGATCAGTATGCTAATGGTGACATTTTTGGCATCGTGCTCGACACAGAAAGTCATAATCACACTATTCCTATGGTGATCGTCACGACTCTTAGCTGACATAAGTATTTTCGATTTCGTGTTTGTATCACTGGCCATATTCACCATTGTGCGATAGTTAGGACTATTTAATATGAAGGAGTATGTTTCTTGTATTCCTAGATTTCTAGCGGATTGTGATGTCATTATTGTCCTTCTTCGCTGTTAGAATGTGTGCACATGCATGCAGTACTGTATGTAAACACATAAAAAATGTTCGTATGCATGCATGCATGCATGCATGGATGGATGGATGGATGGATGGATGGATGGATGTATGTGTATGTACGTACGTATGTGCGTTCAGACAGTCTGTAGGTATCTGTGTATGTATTGAACTATGAACGCAGGAATGTATGTATCGTACACTTGCGATGGTCTGTTTGTATCTGTTATGTATTGAACTATGAACATATGGATTGCAGGTATCGTAGGTACGTACGTGTGTGAGTCTGTACATATCTGTCTACTTATTTAACTATGAATATATGAATGTATGTATGCATGCATGCAGATGAATGAATGAGTGATTGAATGAATGACCGAGTGAGTAAACATGAGAGATTGAGAGTCAGTGAATGAGTGAATTCTTGTACGTATTGCGTATAGGACACAATTACGTGTCGGTTATTCGAAACCTCGCAGAAGGACGACGCATATCCCCTCTGCTGACAATTGCTGACACGCGTCGGCTCTTTGGTTTCTGCCGGAGCTCATCAGACTTTCTCAGCCCAGCTCGGCGGTGCCTTTTTGTTGCCTCTACCGCCGTTCTCTCAGAGGATCCTGCACAAGAGTAGTTCAGGGCGCTTATACTTGGGCCAGGCCAACACAGGCCACCCAGCCCCATACATGAATTGCTACCAAGCTCGCGCAGTGACCCGTCGGCATGTCTGCAGGTTCTGTACACTCCCGCCGGGCTTGTTTCTGCCGGCAACGACCGACAGGCATGCGACTTCGGGCACTGCCACCAGCAACTGGGTTTGCCAAACAGGCAGCATTTTCAATACATGCATCTTCGCAGAGAAGTCCCGTAGGCACTGGACTGCGGACCGAAGCCAAGACAACAAAGCACAGTGCTTCACGTGATGCAGTGACGCGAAGTCTGCAGCGCCAGGTCCTGCTGTGGTCAGGATCCGAGCCACGGTTAAGATGGCAGCATCCAGAAAAGATGAATTGGAGCCTGGGCGGCCTGAGGCGTCGATCAGGGCACGACTATTTTTTAATACGGAAGGCGCGGTACCATCTCCGAAAGCAATCCGAGGATGGCTTGGCACCAGGACTCTCTTTTCGTGGCTGACTTGGGCCCCAGCATCACTGCAGCCTGTCTCACCTGAACGCTCAGAGAATCTGTTGGGTCGGCACGATGTGGGGTGAGGCTGAGGAGTGGAACCTACCAGAGAAGGCAGCTTAAGGACATCATCAGATCGACAGTGTCGCTGAGGGGTCTGCATATCGTGTAGCAGGGTTTACGATTGAAAGCACAGTCTTGCGGAGTGCGAGCGGTCACGACCTGTGAACCTTGATCCCGCCGTGTGTCCTCGGCCTTTGATATTCCAACGAGCATGCTGCTTGGTTTGGTGCACGCTGTTGTGCTGAGGTTTATGAAGGTTTGGCATGATGCGAGCTTCATGGCTTGCAAGTCACTTCTCAGCCGTTGTGCTTGAGTTCGTGTTCAACGCATGAAATGCTCTCACTCTCAACTCGTCAAGGCGCATGTGCAGTGCTAGCCAGCCCGCAGTGGGGACTTTGATTACGGGTGGTTGTCACATCATCTACATCATGCTTCATGATTCATGATGTGTTGCAGAGTCTGAGAAAAGAGCCGAGGGCGCTGCGAAGCCCCTCGGGTGCTGCCCGTTCATGGACGTTTTCCTTGCGTGAGGTGAGGGAGGTTCTCCCAGCTGGTAGTTCGTGTAGCTCTTCCCGGTTTGGTGAAGACGAGTTAACGACTTGTGCTGCTTTGCTGCGGTGCCGGAAGTGCAAATGCCACGGTCGAACAGCGAAGCTGGTCATGGCCAAAGCCGGAGGGGCCTTCACGGTCTTGCCTCGGCTCCAAGTGCAGTCTTCGGGTGCCACGGTGCCACAGAAGCTTGCAGACAACCTTGTACGTAGTGAGCTGCACGAGCTCAAGAAAGGATCGCCACTGTGGATTTTTGCACAGAGTCATGTCGAGTCCCAGCCTGCTCAGCCTGCATGTCACCATTTTCTAGCTTCTTCCTGTTGAGTCCTGCGATCTGAACAGGACGTGAACCCTCGACCAAACAGAGCTTCGTGAAGGCATGAAGACGCTGGACTTCATCCGGTCTTGGATGTGCGTCGGAGCCTCCGTACCCTACACCAACCACTCCCGGAATGCGCAAGACCGTGGCCAAGTGTAAGTTAGCCAACCAGAGTTGGTCCCCAGCATTATTTTCACAGTCAGCGCAGGGAGATAGCTCTGGCCAGTCGACTGAAAGAAGTTGCGGACGTGAACCCAAAGATCGCAGTCGCAACGCGGCCATGTGGGTTGGTGGCCGTGCCTCAAAGGTGTCGGAGACAAGATGACCAGTAGATGGCTGCAACATCGTGTTGCGAATGTGCGCAGAAGATGCGCATTCTTCCCAGACAAGAGGGCGAAACATCACGCCCGTTCGCATGTTGTTTGACGCATTTGCAGATGTCTCTTAAAACTACCGGAATGCTTGAAAGGCTCAGTTGCAAGCAGTGCTTGCACAATATGTTTATTAGTTTATTCATGACATTGGAAGCGCAGGGCTCAGATTTGGAAAGATCAGGTCGTTTTGTGGAGAGATTTGTGCCGGGAGCATCTGTTCTGCCCTTAGTAGCACCCGCAAATATCGTTGGCCTCTTCTTAGAACAACCTGAGTTTGTTTGGGCATGCCGCAGCATAGCCGAAGCTGCGAGAAGCCTGACACTTCCTGTGGCTGGAGTCTTTACACTTTAGACAACCTTTTTCTCTGGAGGTCAGGCTTTCACCAACAGTGGCATGTGTCGCTGGCTCTCAGGTGTTGTGACCACTCATGAAGTCGATGCTGTTTGTTTTCATGGACGTGCTTCATGAGAATGCACAGCTCCAAGAGCTTACAGGTTCTTGCCAAGACGATGAATCTTCTCCAAGCCATGCTCGACACAGCTGTTAGGGACAGTCAGGGCACCCAGAGCACTCAGAGCACTCTTGCCAGCGCCTCCCCCGGCGAAACTCCTTGGCAGCTCGGTAGCTGAAGTTCGAGCCTCAGTAAAATCCTCATACTCTCGCTCAACCTTTGAGCTGGACAGCTGCGCCCTACTTGTACGGGAAAGTGCCTTTCGGAAGGTTTGCGGTGTCCTGGACTGTTGGACAGGTTGGAGGCTGAAGAGTTTGTCTTGCAGGTGCGGAGGATTGACGACAAAAATCCTTCACAGACCTCACTGGTGAACCCGGTGCCCCATCCCTGACCGATCCATTCAGGACTGACATCAACGCTTCGTAGGTTTGCTCGCCGGGCAACCTCAAACGGTTTGGAGTTTGGTGTGTAATTGCCAGCATGTTGTTGATCTGTAGGAGTTTGTGACTAGTTCGTGAGTTTGCTTCTCATCACAAGCATACTGTGCGTCGTCTTGGAGTCTTCAGCTGCATCATCGCAGCTAGGTTTCGTGGTGCCAGGGCCTGAAGCAGAAATCAGGGTTTCTACAGACAGACATTCTCATGTTCCAGGGAGTTCGTCAGGACTGTCATTGGCACATTCAAAACTCCTGGTAGACCCATTGAGGATGGACATCTATCATATCCTGTACCTTTCCAGAGTCGTCGCTTCGTCAGTGGTCCGACGTCCATTAGACAAGGTCCGCGGCCTCGTGCTATGTGCAGTGCTCATAACAGCCGCTAGTGCGCACGGGCTGCCAATCTGCCAGCCTGTCTGCCTGTTGATCTGCCTATCCGACTTGTTTATTTGTCTGATCATCTAGCTGTGTGCCTGCCACTGTTGGTGTATCTCCCTTACTCCTCTCACACACATCTCTCATACATACCTCTCGCACGATACACATACACACACACACACATACGCAGACTCACCTACCCACACACACACACACACACACGCTCTCACTCACTTGGAAGCTCCCCCATATGAGTAGCTAGCTATTTGTTGCAGTCCTATTCTTCCAACTGCGCACTCAAGCAAAAATGCAGGTACGTTGGGATGATCAGTCAGTATCCTGAGGTCACCAGAGCTCTAGGGGCCTCCTCTGCCCCCCCCTGCTGAAAAACGACCCTTGGCAGCTAGGGGTTCGCACACACACACACAGCTACTAGCTGGAAAAGGTCGTTATGATAGTTCGCAGAAAGCTTCGTTGGGCTCCGCCCTGCTGAAAAAAGACCCTTGGCAATCAGGGCCTCACGCGCACGCGCGCGCACGCACACGCACACGCAC